TAAACATTATAAGGTTCTACATAGATGCTTTATGTCAGGGGAGCACAACAAATAGATCCCCAGATGTTGTAGAACTGCAACTCCCATAATGCTTTGCATTCCTTTATAATGCTTTAGAATGACGAAGCATCATGGAAGCTGTAGTTTAAAAACATCTGGGGATCTACCTTTTGAGCACCCCTGGTTTATGGTGCGGATTTGATAATGTATTCAATACCCTACTGTATTTCCACTACACTGTAAAGGGGTCCCTGGTACAATGTCACACATTTGAAGTCCCTCCGTTAAGCCCTTTGGGAGCCAGTCCATATTGTAGCATGTGTGGTTACTGGAGTCAAATACGCCCGGATATATATTTAATAATTATGCCACTAAAATCTCACATAAATTTATGTATCAAGTCTCTTTTGCTGACCTCCATACTAAAGCTGCCAGTTGGTGTTGCCTCCCTTCCAGCCCCCAGCCCCCAAACGTCAGCTTTATTGCAGTGTTTTTCTCAGTTAAAAATGCCAAACATATAAAATGGTCTACATTTATACAGTAAATACAGTTATACAGTATGTCAGTATAATACACTGTATCCCTCCTCCTTATTTTACTCTTTCTTATCCCCTTGTAAAATGATACAAACCTTTAAAAAAATGAGAGAGAGAGGGAGAGGAGAGATGAAGAGGGGGAGAAAGGGAGAGAGAGAGAGAGAGAGAGAAAAGAAGGGAGAAGAGGAGAGGGAGAGGTAGAGAGGGGGAGGGAGAGGATAAGAGAGAGGAAAGTAGAGAGAGAGGGGGTAAGAGAGATGGGTAGAGGGAGAGAGGAGATAGAATTTCAAATGTCAGATCAAAATACTTTAAATTCACTCTGAGTTCCCAGCAATTCCCATTTTATTAAATTGTCCTTTTTGTATTAAACTAAATAAGATTTAGTAAATTAAAGTATTAACGTACTACCCAGAGTATGAGTACTCACATAAATTCACAATGAAAACTAATAGAAAGAAGATGCACCACATGGCTGTGGGTGTCTGAAATGACACGTCCGATGCCGTTGCGATACTTGCCGCTAATGAGGTTTGTCAGGAAGTTGAACGTGACGAAGTTTAGTCGCTGCAAAAGGGCGAACAGAATGACAATGCAAAACAGGTTTACAAAATTGGCGGTAACAGTTCACATTACAACACCATGTAACGCAGAATTCTAGAAATCACTGTTTTTGTGCTTTTTTGTAGGCTAGAGATCCGATTCTCCTGTTACTAATAATGAAAGTCTGATTCTCAGGATGTTTATTTCAAGGAAAAGAAAAGAAAAACAATTATGTAATTTACATTTATTTCACACACATAAACATTACTGCATTATATGACTAAAATTGCAAGAAATTAATTTAGAGTTTAAAAAAATAAAGTTTGCGAAATATGATGATAAGACTATAATTCAGCAGTTACCAAATCCAAAACTGAAATAAATGATATATATTTGTAAAAAGTAGATACCCAGGAAATTCAGCTTGAGATATTTTGACATTTGTCTTGTAACCATTTTATTACCTACTCTGCCAAAATTTGTGGTTATAAGTAATGTATGTGTTTTTTTACATACAGGCAAAATATTGCTGTTAATACTTTCATCCCAATGTGCATTAAGACTATGCATTCAGACACAAAAAAAAATCTGATCAAGAGGGATTTAAAATGAGATGAAAGCTGTAATTGTACCAGGAAACATATACCGTATTTACTCAAATCTAATGCACACCTTTTTTTGGAAAATTACGTTTCCAAAATTTGAATGTGCATTAGAATCGATTGCGCATTACATTCGGAAAACAATTCGACATTTTCCGGTGAATTCACACAGGCGATTTAAAACTGGAGAATTAAAACAGACATTACAAAGACGTCCTAATGAGAATCAGACTCTCATTAGTTGTAATAGGAATGTCAACTCTTTAGACAACCCCCCCCCCCATCAGTTCCAAGACCTTTCCCCCCCCATCAGTTTTATCACAGTGTGTTACAGTTAAAATATGTTAAATCTGACACACACCACTACCGCTGCTTTATACAGTATAACTACATTACACAGCGTTATATCTTCACCTGATATTACGTGTGCCTTTTTGACATTGTCTGCACCTGTAGAACAAGATTACATTGGCGTAAGCCCAGAAGGGGATTTTCATGTCTTGTGAAAAAAACCTGCATCTCCTTAGAAAGCATGCTTCATTCAACGTTGTGTTCTTTACGCCGGAATAATTCTACAACACAGCTATAATCACAGTCTGGCTATTTCAGCCTAACTTTTACCGTCTGAATTTACATTTGTTACTATTCAGGGTTTAGTGAATAAATCTCGTTGTATGTTTTCGTGCAATGTTTGTTGGTTGGTCATTGTTTGCACTGTTTACTGTGTAAGTCGCTGCTACAGAATTGAAACAGAGTGTTAGTTACTGATTACTTTTCATAAAGAATCTTATTGCAATATCATGGATCTCTCTTCAGTACTTGCCCGCCACAGAGACTTTTCCAAGAATTCCTGCTGCACACCCTGACCCTGATCAATAGATCCTTTAACATAGCAACACATATGGCAAGTACTGATCCAAAATGATAAACAACATAAAAAGTTTTTTTAGCAGTAATGAGAAAGTCAGATCTGTAGACACCCTCCCCCACCCCAAATTACTTTAGCACAGTTCGTTACAGTTAAAATATGTTGAATGTGACAGAACTAACGCTCCTTAAAGCAGTATAACAGCATTCTGCAGCGTTATTCCTTCACCAGTTCAATCAAGTTTGTCTTTTTACATTGTTGGCGTACACTGATGTAACCTGTGCCTGTAGAACAATCTTACATTGATATAACTACTATAGGGGAGTAGCAATCAGGTAGCCAGAAGGGCATTTTTCATGACTTATAAAAAAAAATTCCAGCACTCTTTAGAACGTATGCTTCCTATGGCAGTGCTGATTGTCAGCCCGGAACGAGAGCGCCAAGAGACTCCTAGCATCCCAATCATTACAGCGGGCTGCGGCGGTTATGATGCCTGGAGTAAGCCTTTAAAATATGCAAAACTTTGTATAAAACCAACGATAGCATCTTAACCCTATTATAATGCCTTCAGCTAAAAGCCTTGGATTTCCCAAGTCGCAAGATCATTACATGGACAAATAATCTGAGTGAATGGATTTATATTGTGGGTGAAGAGCTTATAGCATCATGATTGATCTGGCTCCATGTAACTTGTTACATCCCTAGAATGATGATGAATTCTCAGGGGTAAATGGGCAAAAGCCTGAGTAGGTGAACTGGCAAATTCTCAGAAAGAATTGAGAGTTCAATAAACATCTTTTGGGGAGGGGTCCTACAATCGTAGCATTTCGCAACGTTATTTCTGCACTGGTTATAAAATGTGCCTGTATATAGTGCCAAGTAATAAACAGTTAAGGATGCACACTTGAATTGTAATTTAAAATATAATACTTTAATGTGTATCAATAGTAGCATCACAAGTAACCGAAAATATATAACAAGGTTCAATGCATCAATTTATAAAATACTTAACATATAAAGATAACCATCTCTTGCAAAAGCCAAACAATATAGAACACGAGTCAAAACATCCCCCCAACGTTTCAGTACTCTATTGGCTGCCTTTCTCAAGGGTGTCTGAGCCAGTAGGGTGCCAAAACGTTAGGGAGGAGGTTTTAACTTGTATTTTATACTACTTGGCTTTTGCAGAGATGGTGATCTTCATACAGTATGTTAAGTATTTTATTAGCCTTGATGCATTGAACCTTGTTATATAATCTCTTTTGCCTGTGCTGATTTTATTATTGATATACAATAACGTATTATATTTTAAATTGCAATTCAAGTGTGCATCCTTAATTGTTTATTAGCTTGAGCTTAAAGGCATTTTTGGGGGAGTGCCTAATTTTGGATTTCCACCTTACTAATGATAATATTTGTGATAGATTAAATCAGAGTTTGCAGGAATCTATGATCTGCAAACTTTCTTTGTCTTAGGGATGAGCATAACCACCTAGCAAAGCTAGTGGGTATGCGGCAGCCTCCCGGAGTCAAATGCCAGAGCTGAAAAGGCTCGCGCTGTGCATCTGCACAGCAACAGCCTTTCAGCCAATCAGGTAATCAGGAGAGCCGTGCTGAGCGCGGGAATCCTGATTACCTCAGATTTTTTAAAATTGGGAAACTGCGGATGGTTAGCACATCCCATGAAATACTAAGGATAAATATTTCCCACAGTGTACAGGAATATAATTAAACTTCTAAACACAAAATAAAATAATTCAAGATGCCAATAGTACAGGGGAACAAGAAAATATTTAATAAGTCATGGAGACATACAAGATAGACTTGAAACTTTGTATAAAACAGCTGAACTGAAAAACAAGGCAACAATGTGTGCCAAAGGAAAGTATCCAAAGACCACTGGAAACGTTCAACGTAAGTTGCAACAAAATAAGTTCAATAAAGAGACAAGAAATGTTGAAACAAGTCCCAGCAGACATAATCTTTATGCAGGGAGTCCATGAGAATATTAAACCGACGAGACTACTTGCATCCAATCCTTCTACTTAGGTGGATCCTTGGTTTGTTGGTCTTGTCTTGGAGTACGGCTATAGTCTGTAAAAAACAAAACAGAGAACAGTTATCAAAAGGTTGAATAATCACCAGATAACCTTATGTTTTAGAAAAACCAACTACCACCAGCAGGCAAAACCCTTAACTAGGAGGAGGGTGGGACGGGCGCTATTGCTAGGTGGTTATGCTCATCCCTAAGACAAAGAAAGTTTGCAGATCATAGATTCCTGCAAACTCTGATTTGTCCTCGGGAGGCATAACCACCTAGCAAAGCTAGTGGGTAGAATAGCACACACCTGGTGGTGGTCCTAAGAAACTGAAGGCGTTCAACTTCTGATGGCCTCCAGTAAAATCTAACAAAGGTTTTACTGGACAACCATCTTGCAGCTTTTAAGATAGTAGCTAGAGGAAGGCCCTTTCCTGCTGCTTTAGTAGCCGAGGCTCCCCTAATTGAATGGCTTTTGAACACTGAAACATCAATTCCAGCCGTAGACATGGCGGAAAGTATCCAGCCTCTAATTGTATTAACCTTGGCTGGACGAAAGGGATTCCTTGATGTAATGAATAATTGACTGATATCGTTTCTAAATCCAGCAGAAAGTTGAAGGTACGATTGTAACAAACTGACTAAACATAAGCCTGGTTCGGAAGAATCTTGGACCAAGTCCAATTCTACCGGACCAGGAGAAAAATTGGATGTTTTTTGTCTGCCTTTTAGTATAATATGGAAACCTCCCGGGGTCCCGGACAACCAAGGTTCTGAAATATGGATCTGAGTTAACTCTGCTCCTCTAGCTGCCAGGGCCAAGGACAGCAGAGAAGCCAGCTTAATAGCAGTCCATCTTAAATCAATTTTAGCATTATCCAAAGACTTTAGGAAATTTAATAAGACATCTAAATCCCAAGTAGATGTGTAGCGTGGGGTATATGGGCGGCAGACGGCTAACCCTTTTAGTAATCTCAAATACAGGGCATCCTGAGTAAGGTTGGGGATCAGGAAGTTTAAGGCAGATCCGTAGGTCTTGATTGAACTGACAGATAAACCAGAATGGAACTTAAGGGTAAGAAATTCTAACGCCAAAGGAATGGTATCAGATCCTTGTGTGTTAGACAGAAAAGAAACCTCCCATTCTTTGAATTCCTCGATCATCTTTCTATATCTTACCCTAGTTCTACGTCTTAAAGATGAGTTAATAATATCCAAGACCTGGTCCGATAAGTGGGGATGTGTTAACAGCCTACCAGGGCTGCGATCCACATCAGCTGCGGGAGCTTGAGCAGAAGATCGCTGGTTCCCTGAAAGCAGTCCACTGTCATGCCTAATGGGATCTTGGTTCCCTTGACTAACTGATGGATCAAGGGATACCAGGGTCTGGAGGTCCATACTGGGTAAACGAGAACTAAGCTCTGCACCCTGTCCCTGCGGATCTTCTCCAGCACTTTCATCAGTAAAGATGGAGGGGGGAAAGCATAAGGGGCTGGAACATCCGTCCATTGGAAAGACATTGCATCCATTTTCCAAGCTCCCTTTGTCCAGGTCCGGGAGACGAACCTGGGAGTTTGAGCGGATGTTTGGGATGCAAACAGATCTACCTGTCTCTGGCCAAAATTGCTTTCTATCTTTTGGAAAAGAGCAATCTTTAATTGGATCGTTGCCAGGGACAAACTTTGGCGAGAGAGAGAGTCTGCAAGCTCGTTCGCCTCTCCCGGAACATATTCTGCGAAAACCTGAACATTGCTTGCTAAGGCCCAGGACCAAAGATCTAGAGCCTCTAAGCAAAGACCCCTTGATCTTGTACCCCCTCTGTGGTTTATATAAGCCACCGCTGTCCTGTTGTCCGAATGGACTTTTACCAATGTCGGTGACTCGTTTAGAGGAACTAGGCCCTTGAGAGCTAATTTTATAGCTCGTAACTCCAAGATGTTTATATGGAGGTGACTCTCTTGGTCTGACCAGATTCCTCTTATGGCGTTTTGGGTTGTAAACGCACCCCAACCGTGACTTGAGGCATCTGACGTCAGAGTGACTGTCGCAGGCTGCTCTAACAGTGGACGAGGAAATGGAATTTCTAACTCCAGAATGGACTTCAATTCTTCTCTGACCTTCTTGGGGAGAACAAATTTTGATTCCCAATGGCCACCCTGTCTCAGTCGGTTCCCTAAAAACAGCTGACTTCTTCTGCAAAGTAAGGGGGAATTGTTGTATGCTGGTGTTAAAGCTATTAATTTCCCTATGATCTTTGCTAGGTCTCTCAAGGACCAACTCTGGTGCTTGAGAGATGAGTTCAGATGTACCAATAATTTGTCCCATTTGTCTTGAGGGATTCCAAGGGACATAGTCCTGGTGTTCAGTATGAAACCCAGAAAGAGGATGCTTTGAGTGGGAATTAGGACTGATTTCTGTAGATTTACTACGAATCCTAGGTCTTGTAAAAGGGAAGCAAGGTAATCCCTTTGAGAAGCAAGGGCTTCCCCATCTGGGTGCATGAGCAGGATGTCGTCTAGGTAGTATAGACACATGAAACCTTTTAGTCTGACATGAGCTATCACTGATTTCATAATTCTGGAGAATGTGTATGGTGCGTTGGAGAGGCCAAACACCATAACAGTCCACTGCCACACCTTTCCTTTCCACTGAAACCTGAGAAAACGCCTGTGTTTCTTGGCTATGGGGACTGAATGGAAGGCATCTTTTAGGTCTACTTTTATGCAGAAAAAGGCTTTCTGAACTAAGCCTGGAAGATCTGATAGACTCTCCATCCTGAACCTTTTCCTTTTGATGAAAGCGTTCAGAGGCCTCACATTTAGGACCGGTCTCCAGGAACCGTCTGACTTTGGGATTGGGAACAATGGGCTGACCCATCCTGTAATAGACATGTCTGCCAACTCTATTTTTCCTTGACTTAAAGCTAAGGAAAGGGAGGCATCTAGCACTGGGTTCACCTCTCTGTGGGGTGCAAATTTCTGGACTGGGAACCTTAACAGGGGGAGTTGTAAACCCCTTTGAAAGATCTTTAGAACCCATTTGTCTGAGGAAATATCCTTCCAATTTAGTGGCATATGAGGAGGCACACTTACTTGAATGCATGGGTTTCCTTTTGGAAGCTGAACCGCCTCTGGAATGCGCTCCTCTGCCGCCGCCTGGGAGCTTATGTCTTCCACTGTAGTGGCGGTACTGGGCCTGGTGAGAGGCTTCTCGGGACGCTCCTGCAGCCCTATAGGGGCGACCCTCCGTCCGAAAGGGCTTCTTGTAGCCAGGGACGGACTTCTTGAGTTCTGAAAAGGATCTCCTTGCCTTGTAACGGCCTTTAACCTCCTGAATGAACGAGGGACCGAATAGGTAAGAATCCTCCAAATTTGGGAACTCATGCGATTTGGGGGCTAGGTCGGACAGACCAGCTGCATGGAGCCAGCGGGATCTGCGGATGTTTGAAATGTAATTAAAGGATTGGCCAATAATTAGCACTGCCCTGCCAGACGCTTTTAAAAGGGCCATCTTAGATGCTAACAGGGATGAAGTGGAAGGTTTCTGAGCATTGCCTTCTTTTTCTGCTTTATCCAGCATCAGTAATAGTGGTCCCACAGCATCAGCAATTTTAAACTGTATATTGCGAAAAGTCTGGTCTGTGGGATCAGAGGATACGCTGCTCCCTGTGATGGATAACAGCGAAGGGTCTACCTCTGGGGCCATTAGAGCCTGAATGTCCGGGATACCGATGTGGTTCCTGAGGAGAAGGTCATCTTCCTTAACCAAGGGGGATCTGAAGGCTAGTTTAGCAAAATCTCTAACCTCGGAATCGTGCTCCATAGCCCATCTGGAGTGAAATAATTTTGATGGGAGAGTCTTTCCTAGGAGACTTACTCTGGCCATCTGAACATTGCTTAGCTTCCCTCGCTCAGTGGAAGCTGCTGAACGAACCACTTCCTCGGATTCCCAGTCTATTTCTGGAGAGCCGTATCTGGAACTGGGACGGCTTTGGGAAGAAGAGTGAGCGAACGCTCTAGAAGAGGAAGGAGAGGGACTATCTAACCTCCAACGAGATTTGCCCTTTTCCTCTGGGAGGTGTTTCTGGTGCTCAAACGAGGGAAACACGCTATTCCTTTTTTGAGGTCCTGTCCCCTTAAATTTTCGCTTACTCAAACGAGTATGAGGGGAAGGAGGAGCGGAGAAGTTTTCCTCAGACGAGGAACTGGCGGAAGAGACCAGCCGTCTTCCTTTATGCTTTTTATTTAAAACTGGGACCAAATCCTCCTCAGATGATGAAGAGGATAGATCCCTGGCAAGGAAAGCTCTCTTATGGAGCTTTCTAACATTGATGGGGCTGCCTTTAAGAGAGGCATCCACTAAATCTGTGGCAGACACAGAAATAGAGTCCTCCATCAATGATGCCATTTTAAAAAATCTGAGGTAATCAGGATTCCCGCGCTCAGCACGGCTCTCCTGATTACCTGATTGGCTGAAAGGCTGTTGCTGTGCAGATGCACAGCGCGAGCCTTTTCAGCTCTGGCATTTGACTCCGGGAGGCTGCCGCATACCCACTAGCTTTGCTAGGTGGTTATGCCTCCCGGAGGACAAATACCCTGCGCGCTAGTTTAGAGTTAATATTCTACAGACAAATATTGGTGTTAGCTGCACCTGTAGAAAGAACGAACAAACGTTACCGTGGGGGATTAGCGATACGTTGGGATCTTTTTATGTCTTGTGAAAAAATTCTGCCACTCCTTAGAAAGTATACTTTGATCCATTCTGTGTTCATTAGACAAAAATCATTTTAACTCTGATCTGAAAAGATTCTCCAACTTTGGCCTTTATTTAATATTATTTGATAAGATTTCCAAATTATTTAATATTTTTTTATTAAAAAAAATTAATAAATAAATTCCGCAATTACAATATTACAAATATGTCACATATAAAATATATATTAATGCAGTGGTTCCCACACTTTTTAGGTTCAAGGCGCCCTTAATATTTTAAGTCACAACAATTTTCTAGGTTGTATATATGTACAGTACTGCAGCATATACTGGGCCCCTGTTCGGCAGATACAGAACCTAATCTTGGGAGGAGCACTGGTAAATTATTTCAGGAAACAATCCAGGCACAATAACCACTACAGCACTCTGTAGTGGTTATGATGCCAGGAGTGCCTTGGTGCCCTCCCAGGGTAAGTAGTCAAACTGTTTAAGTACATTTTGACAACTTACCTGAGATCTGCCAGCATAGGGGCTGTAGTAGGGGATAGGGGCAGTAGTGTGTGTGTGTGATGGTGCAGCATGTGTGTGTGTGTGAGAGTTGTAGTGTGTGAGCGTGTGATGGGTGCGGTGAGTGTACGGGGATGCATTGTGTTTGTGAAGGATGTAGTGTGTGTGTGTGTGAGTGAAGGATGTAGTGTGTGGGTGAGAAGTGTAGTTTGTGCGTGAGGGGTGCAGTTTATATGTGAATGGTACAGTGTGTGGGGCACAGTGTGTGTATAGTACTAATCCCTGGTGATCTGGTGGACAAGCCCTGGTGGTCCTGCTGCTAGATTTCACACTTGCGAGATTCGGAGTGTTGCCGTGGTAATCGTGGCAATGCTTCGAGCTTGCGAGAGGAGAACCCTCCCCTGATCTCCCCTCTGGTCCTGCATTGCCGGCCGGGGAGAGGGAGGCACAATTCCAGGTGCTGTGATCATATCATCATAGCACCGGGAAGATATCTTGCTGCGCCCCTGTGTGCCCGTCGCAATTCCCCAGGGTGCCGTGGGAAAGATATAAAACATTACAAAATTAGAATTTTTTCGCAATAT